AAACAGAAAAAGGAAGAATAAGGAAGAAATTCTTCAGAGAACTGAAACTGCTGTCTTAGATGCAAACTGCAGCAGAGATGTAAAACAGATGCTCTCGAAGCATGTAGATCTCCAGTTGAGTAACTGGGGTAGAGTCCATGCAACTTCAACACAGTGAAACAACACCTGAAAATGATCCTAAAGTCTTTTTGAATGAACCAGCATTTTATACAACTGATGGTGTTCCTTTCCTTGCATCTGATCCAGATGACTAAGAGAAATATCAAGAATTACTTGAAAGAGAGGACTTTTTTCCAGATAATGAAGAAAATGGAACAGATTTTTGAGGGACTGGTGATCCATACTTGGGTGATATTAAAGATGAGGTGGATCCAGAGATAGAGCAACTTATGAAAAGCTTTGTTGCAGTTATACTGTATTAATGATGGTGCAGGAACTCAAATCGCAGACCATATGTGGGAGTTCAGCAACATAAACCTAATGCCATCTGCTGGTCCTTCCCCTCCCAGTCTTCTAAGAAGCCAAGATATGCACCCAGCCCAGCACATGTACATGTCAACCCAAAAACTGAATCTGATCTTTCACATACCCCAGCAATGTTGATTAATATGCTATCTGTGAGGCACCACTGCTGGGACTATTATAATTTTAATCAATGTATATTGAGTTGTTGGAAAAGTCATGACACATTTTTGCATATAAAAACGTAGAAGAAATGTGTCATGACTTTTGCAACAACCCAATAGTTGTATATATTTATGGAGTACAGTGCTGTTTTTCAGTACATGTGTACAACGTAATGATCAAATTAAGGCAATAACCATGGTCATTTTCTTTACTATTTATTATTAATTCGTGTTGTGAACACTTGAAATCTCTCCTTCTAAATATTTTGAAAATATACATTGAATTGTCACCAACTATAGTTACTCTACTATGCTAAAGTATTCAAGAACTTATTCCACTTTTCTGTTTCCCCTCTTGTGTCTATTAACGAAGTTCTTCCCTTTCCTCTTACCTCACCAACATCTCGAATCCAGATTCACTCTCAACTTTTATATAATCGAATCTTTTGGTTTCCACTAGTGAATGAGAACATATGGTATTCATGAATGACCAAGTACATGAAATAATGCTCAACTCACTCAACTCACTCATCATCAGGGAAATGCAAATCAAAACTATGTTGAGGTATCACCACATCTCAATTAAAATGACTGTTATCAAAAAATAACAACTGCTGGCAAGATTGTGGAGAGAAAGAATCTTTCTTGCACTGTTGTTGGGAATGTAAATTATTATATCATTATGGAAATAGTATGGAGGTTCTTAAAAAACTAAAAATTGAACTATCCTGTGATCCAGTAATCCCACTCCTGGGTATATACCCAAAGAAAAGAAATCAGTATGTTTAAGAGATAGTGGCACTCCCATCTGTAGCATTAGTCACATTGGTTAAAATACAGAATCAACTGAAGTACCCAACAGTAATGAATGGATTAACTGTGGTATATATTCACAGGGAGTAGTATTCAGGCAACAAAAGG